TAATAAATAATACACACATACATCTATAATACATCGATATGAAATCAGGGTTGCAGATAAACGATCAAATCTTTAATTTAATTGAACACCGGCTTATAATTAACGTTTGGCTTTTGACTTTTGACTGATGAGTAATTAAGAACTGAAGTTGTTTAATTAGCTGATGGGAGGAGAAATTTGAATTTCAAGTATTGTCGATTGAGTTTTACAGAAATTTAATCAGTAGTTATTAATAGAGCGATTAAAAGATTTGTAACCATCGCTAAAATAATTCTATCAATCAATGGAATCCATGAATGAATAAGTGCAGTTCTTGATAAAAGAAAGATAGTCTTGTACTATAATACACAAAGTGTATAATCTCAAAGTCCCACTCAATGGCCGGTGTGCATAGTCGCTACTTATTTCTAAGATCGCATTAAGCATTTGCTATTCTTGTCTATACCACATTTCCAGTTTCTGTTGTGTACAGGAAACAGGAAAGCAAATATTAAGCAAAAGCAAAGGTGAGGTTCTTAAAAATAAGTAACTGAATGATAATTTGAATACCGGCTAAATGTCTATAAATATAGAACTGGCTTAAAGTCGCCTTTATGGTAAGTATCGTACATCGATGTATAATAGTATAGTTAATATACTTTCATCCATGAATAAATAAATTACAGTATCCTATAAGAAAAGTCGTTTAATATCAAAATTAATAATTCTAAATACCAAGTGAATACATAAATGTATAATAATATAGTTAATATAATTTCATCCATGAATAAATAAATTACAGTATCCTGTAAGAAAAATCGTTTAATATCAAAATGTATAATTCTGAATACTAAGTGAATACATCGATGTATAATAATATAGTTAATATAATTTCATCCATGAATAAATAAATTACAGTATCCTGTAAGAAAAATCGTTTAATATCAAAATTTATAATTCTGAATACCAAGTGAATACATTGATGTATAATAAGAGTTAATACAATTTCTTCTATAAATGAATAAATCCAGTATCCTATAAAAGAAGTCGACTGATATAAAAATGTATAATTTCGAATATCAAATGAATACATCGATGTATAATAAGAGTTAATATAATTTTATCCATAAATGAATAAATGCAGTATTCTGTACGAAAATTCATTTAATATCAAAATGTATAATTCTGAATACCTAATGAATATTATCTATTTTGTTGATGATTTTGATCTATAAATGAATAAATGCAGTACCCTATCAGAAAAGTCGTTTAATATCAAATTGTATAATTCTGAATACCTAATGAATATTATCTATTTTGTTTTTTAATTTTATCTATAAATGAATAAATGCAGTATTCTATAAGAAAATTCGTTTAATATCAAAATGTATAATTCTGAATATCAAATGAATATTATCTATTTTGTTTTTGAATTTTATCTATAAATGAATAAATGCAGTATTCTATAACAAAAATCGTCTAATATAAAAATGTATAATTCTAAATACCGAATGAATACCTCGTTGGTAGAATCCGAAATTTTGTAAGAACTTAACAGAGTCCCGTGAATGGCCCGATGGGACAGTCTAATGGTATCGTATATTAGGAAATCCGACGATTACGTTACTGCACTAGAACGATATCGATCCCCGCCGTCACTCGTCCGCGGCGAACGATTCCATGGGCGAGGAGTTATCGTCGAAGATAATGCGTGAGATTACGTAAAAAGAAAAGAAAGGAAAGAAGTGCGACAGGTTCGACATGTGACATCTGCATGCGTGCGGCTGGTTCTAGCGTGGCCTAGCGTGTACATACGTCAGGTCGGACGTTTGTCAGCTGAAAGAATTAAATGCGCTTCGGCGGAACGGCGGAATATTCGTAACAGAAGACGAGAACGCCGGTCCATGTTACTGCGCCTGCGTATTAAAAACGGTTACTCCTATTGGTCGTTACCACATGGTCTGATGTCAGACCATACCATAGGGTCTGTCCAATTCAATAATAACGAGATGCTCACGAGCTAGACGCTAGCCAGTTCTCTACGACGTGCCCGCGACGCTTGTAACCAGTTCCAACGAGGCGAACGTGAAATAATCGCATGTCGCGTATTTCACGGTTAACTTACAGTTTAAACATCGGTCAAGCTACTCGTAGATTTTTGTTAATTAAACGCCGGTCGGTAAACCTCCGCAACGAACATTTATTTCCGGGGGTGCAACATTAGGCAACGAAGGATTCATCGGTCGGAAAGGGACGTTCTCAGGATTATATTTCACGTGCGAGGTAAGCGGGTCTCATAGTGCTTCGCTTCACATCCGGCACGAATCGATACGCAAAATATTCGCTTGAAAATTTATCAAACCAATTCATCCAGAAATAACAATTTTTAGGTCCCGACCAGTCGAGGGGAATTTAACTATTGAAAACGCGAATTCTATCATTCCGCTGTTCTGTTATGAAAAAAACCGTTAGGACACCTAGTCTCCTTCGACTGTTATCATTTCCTATGATTCACCAGCAAATATTTACCTTCGCGGAATATTATGGTTGAAAAAAAATGTAAAACGCGATCGTGATCCGTCGGTTTCGTGACACACGGATTAAAGAGAGAGACCGAATTCGATTGGTTTACGTGGTTGGGCCGACGTAATAGGTTCACCGTAACGGTAAACGGGTTGCCCGTGAACAATTACTCCGTTCAGTCTCCGAAATCAATCGTCGAATCGCACGACGTTACACCGTTTCCGGTGTTCGTTTGAATAACCGAGGAATCGGCTGAATTGGCTGCGTCGAAAAAGACTGCGGCTGCATTATTCCAAAGCCTGATCGAATTTCAATTAACGAATTCCACAGCCACGTGAATCGCGAAACCTCTCTGAATGACAAAGACAGTATATTTTCTCACTTGGAAAATTGAATTTTAATTTGTTTACGGATGTAAATCCTTTGGATGTAAATTTCTTTTCACGACAGCTCGCAAGTTGAACATTGTGTCACGTGTGACGTTAAAAATTGAGTAAACTCTTATATACTACTGCGTCGTGCCATGCTCAACTGCTGTGACAAGTTTCTGTTTACCACACTTTCTTACCGAATACCGTTCAACAGGAATTAGTTTTTAGGAAAAAGGGCAGACGATTGTTGTGATACATTTTAGTGTCCCTCAACGCTGGACGCATTGGCAAAAATTTATTAACTGCTGGACGCATTGGCAAAAATTTATTAACTGCTGGACGCATTGGCAAGAATTTACGTAAATTCATATTCAATCGGAATGACAAGTAATTTCAATGTGAATCATGTCACGGAATTATTGAATCAGTCTTTTTTCGTTAACTGACAATTAAAAGTTTTATTCTATCTTCTAAAACAGACTGTAGGGACACCCTGTATAAAATTCAAACTATTCGCAATAAACAGTTTTTTTTTTTAATATAAAACTGTGTTTTATATAAATTACAAGCATTTCCAACCATTTGGTATCAAATTATGACTCCGTAGATTTATAATTCGTGACACGTGTAGATTCCGCGTTTAAGCAAATATTGAATATAAAAAAACGTCACTAGGTGATGTAACGAATTTTACATTCGGTGATTTTATTAATATATGATAATGATTCGTTGTAAAGTTCACGCTAGAAGTCGATAAAACTTGACCACGTACACACATCGATGCGAGCTGTACGCTATCTGTAAGTTCTGAGTACGTAACTAGAATCACTTCGATTTTAATCCGTAATAACTTTAGCGAAAATTGGTTCAAATGAACGTTGTACGGTTTCAAGAGAGACATAATTTGATATTACTGTCGTTAGTAGAAACGTAAAGGTAAAACATAGAATAGAAGCGTTAAAAAAAAAAATAGTTGTCGGTACATTATTTTTGATATTACTATCGTTAGAAGAGACATCAAGGTAAATGTAAAATAGAAGCGATAAAATAAAATAGTTGCCGTTACATTATTTTGATATCACTATCGTTAGAAGAGACATTAAGATAAACGTAAAATAGAAGCGATAAAAAATAAATAGTCGATAAAAAAGTTGATTTCGTTTTATATGAAGTCTTTCAAAGTTATCGAGGTACTTTTAATCTACGTTTGTAGAAGAATTCTATATTGATGATTCTGGTTATTTTAGTTTGCCTGCACCTGGCGACACGTGATCGACTCATGCTGAATAGTCATCGTTCGTCTAGCAGATCTATCTGTTCTTCATGATAGAATCGCGCGAATTTACGAACGCGTGTGATAAAAATGATATCAGCCAGATTAGATACCTAATTAATCTTGGAACGTGGTGTTCATCTTCGTTCCGCGCAAGGTCAATTATATTATTTAATCGGTTATGCAATTAATCGACTGAAGAAAGTCCGATAATGAATTATGTATGCAACCGTGAAAGTAACAAATCCTCTGTTTACGTCGCAGATAATTAATGTCGTACACCTTAACACCTGATATCATTTACATCTGATAACCATCAGAATGCACAATCGAAGTGCGTAATCGAATTTCCGCTGTAATTGTTAGTAGACTGCTTTAGGCGATTGTTAGGAAAATTTAGTACGCACGTGAGAAATGTTAATATGTATATGTATGATAATGTCCCAATTTCTAACCCTGTCCCAGTTTCTACTAACGGCTCTGTTTATGTAATCGTTTTATGCGTAAACTGAAATCAGTGAGTAGAAATTAAACCTACCAGAGCGATTAAATGGCCGCTTTTGACATTATTTTTTA